GACCGATTCACTTCAATGATGTGAAGAGATTGGAAAACTGCAGATTCAGAGCCAAATTATAATTTGCTTTGAATAATCCTTCTCCTCCTGAGTAGTCATACCTTGACCACACCCACATCTGACCTGAAATACCCTAACAAAACTTTCTTTGAGTTGTATTAACTTACCACAACCTGATTTCTACCAACCCAAGCTAAGAGTGGCTCAGCATCTGAGGCCTATAACAAAGGTGTCCTCTCTTTGTAGTAAATACCTACTTGGTGTTTTTATCAATGAATTTAAAAACAATGCCTTATTTGCTGTGGAATAATGCAGACCAGGCAGGACACAGGAAATTTTCCAGCTACACTTATTTATAGCTTTCTTGGTTTCATTACTATAAAAACCCTCAAATGGGTACAGTGTTGGAATATGGAACTTGGAGTAATCTAAATCTGTGATCATAGGAATAGTCAATCACACTTGGCTTCAGAATAAACAATCTTTTGTACCCTTTGAGGGAAGGATTTTCTGTGTCAAAAATATTAAAGTTTTTGAACATATTATAAATTGTATGGTAAAAACTTCTCTTCTCAGCCCCTCACAGAACACCTATATCAACTCCTCCAAGGCTCAGGAGACATTTTGTAAAACAGGGGGCAAAAAATTCAAAATTCAGGCACTAGGAGAATGGGAGCTCTTACAAGTTATGGAGAATTTCCTCTGATTTAAAATATCCCGTCCTGGAAGGAAGCTCATTACCACAGATAAAGCTATAAAGGGAGGCTTCATCAGATGGGTGAACTGAAAGTTCTGAGTTTTAGGAAGTCCCTGTAACATGAGAAGAAAATTTTACAAATGCTGCCTTCTGAAAATGCCATGATTGTTGCACTCCCCAGCTCAAAACACTGGTGGTTATCTACACAAGATCTGCACAAAAACAGTTTCCCTGACATTCCTTCCTGGGGCTTGATAAGTAGTTAGGGGTTGCTAGAAGAGATGTGAGTTTTTCCTCTGCTGTAGTGCCTCATAAGCTGTTCATGCTCTAGTAAATAACATGAAACCTGTGCTCATGCATGCAATGCTGATTAAACCCAATGGGTCACACGAAGCAGAGATGAGAGGAAGAGTGTGCCTTGCTGAGCAGAAGACAGGCTTACAGAAGAGAGGGTGTTAAGAAAGGGCAAAGGGGGGATGAAAATGACAAAAATTTAGTGCGTGTGCGTGTGCGTGCGTGTGCATGTGTGTGTGTGTGTGTGTGTGTGTGTGTGTGTGTGTGTGTGTGTATACTGTCCAAGAATAAAGAAGAAAGGGTCTCTACAACATAGCTGCTTTTCTTTCTATTAAAATCCTTTTCATTATATTTATAGAGTGTGTGCATGTGTGTGCTCATGCCAGAGGTGCATGTAGAGGTCAGAGGACGGTGTGCTGGAGTCTGTTATTTTCTTTCACAATGTGGGTTCCAGATATCAATATCAGGTCATCAGGTTGGCAACAAATCCCTTTATCCAGTGAACCATCTTGCCAGCCCCTATAGCTGCTTTGATTAGAACTAATGAATACATTCAACAGTAGTATTGTGGAGCTCTTTTACTAGGTCCACATGCTTTTATTTCCCAAGAAGTCTTCATGAGTCCTGGTGCCACAGTGGGGAGCGAGCAAGCGGTAGTGGTGGTCTGAATACTTTTTTAAAATGTGGGAAAAGCAATAGTTTAAAATGAACATGAGCTATACTCTTCAGAAGAGGTGACAAATAACACGAAAAGATGAATTATTCAATTGAAATTGACTCTCTTAAAAACTCGTACAAAGAGGATTAAGGGGCATGGAAAAAACCCAACGGGTAAGTAATCAAAGAATTACACTGTTTATTTCTGCTTCCTCGAGGTTTCTTTGCTACCTGTCACCACCCTGCAAGGTGGTTCTGTTGAACTGTCCTCTCTCAGGAAGACCAACCTGATATGCAAGTTCTGAACAAGGTTGATGTGCCTCTCTTTGTGTACACATTCCATACAGTCATGGAGGTGTGTTTATCATTGTGTTGTGTGTGACATTATTCCTGAGGAGACAGGAACAAACAGACAAAAGAAAAAAACACCATCAAATCCAACTTTCTGAATATCTTTATTTGCTTTCTAATTGCTGTGATAAAGACCATGACTGACAGCAATTTGAGAAAGAAAAGATTTATTTTATCTATATCCCTCAGGTCACACAGCAGCACCACAGAAAGTCAGGGCAGGAAGCTGGAGGCAGGACTAAAGCAGAGTTCAGGAAAGAATGCTGCTCACTGGATTGCTTTCCACCTCTTGTTCAGCCTGTGGTTTTGTTTGTTTATTTTGGTGGGGATTTTTTGTTTGTTTTTTGAGACAAAGGTTCTCTGTTTAGCCCTGGCTGTCCTGGAACTCACTCTGTATACCAGTCTGGCCTTGAACTCACAGAGATCCACCTGCCTCTGCCTCTGCCTTCCTGAGTGCTGGAATTAAAGGCTGTGCCATCACTGCCCAGCCAGTTTGTGTTTTTTTATATTACCCAGGATTAGCAGTCCAAGGTGCTACCACCACAGTGGTATGGACCCTCTCATGTCAATCATTAATTGAGATAGTGCCCCTCCTCAGACTTGTCCAAAAGCCCATCTAATGGAATCGTTTTCTTGATTAGGAGTCTCTCTTTCTATATGACTCTAGATTTGTTGAGTTGACAAAACTAACCAACATGGTGAACCAATGAGTTTTGTGGGATTGCTTCCTTGAGGATGGGTGAAGACTAATAAGACATCGCTGACTCAAAGGCCACTGCATCACTGAAATATCACCCAAGCATGAGTGATAGCTCATGAAAGCTGGAGCTCAGGAGCTCTCTGCAGAACATGCAGTTAACATCACAAGTCAGACTCCCTCTGCTTAGTAGTCTTTACTGTTCATGTAACTTTGGGGAGGGTGTGTCCTATGACTCTGATGTTTGAGGGACTCCCTGAGACTCCAACTTTTTGCTTCCCCCCCAGGGTTGAATGTTTCAACTCAGGAAATTCTGCACATCCTGAAAGAGCTTGCATTCTCCTGAAAGCTGTGTTAATGTTCATCAGGGAGTTTGCTCTCATGTAAGTAATTATCATACTAAACAGTTGAGGGCACTCCAAAATTCTCATTTTTGGTACTTGTCTATATTCATATTTGGGGTCACAGCTGGATTCCTGTCATTTCTAATGTGTATAAATAAGAGGAAAATAAAATAAACACTATCATGTAGAAGCAATCTTCCATCTGCCAAATTACTTTGCTGTTGTTTTCAAGACAAAGGTCTAAAATCTCCAGGTTTTTTGTTTGTTTGTTTGTTTTATTTAGTTATTTGTTTGTTTGTTTAATTTTTTATTTTTTGGTTTTTCGAGACAGGGTTTCTCTGTGTAGCTTTGTGCCTTTCCTGGAACTCACTTGGTAGCCCAGGCTGGCCTCAAACTCACAGAGATCTTCCTGGCTCTGCCTCCTGAGTACTGAGATTAAAGGTGAGTGCCACCACCGCCTGGCTTATTTATTTATTTATTTATTTTAGACAGTGTTTCTCCTGGGAAAAGTCCTGGCTGTTCTGGAACTTGCTTGTAGACCAGGCTGTCCTCAAACTCACAGAAATCTGTCTGCCTCTGTCTCCCAAGTACTAGAGTTAAAGGTGCTTGTTACCACCACCCAGTTAAGAGTCCAAAAATATAGAAATATAAAATTATAAGCTTAAGAGATGGAAACTGACCGTCTTGAACTCTAAAAGTAAACTTTAGCAGTGGCCATCTGCTTTACAGCCAGCTCCTCTGTCAACAGTCAGGGATTAACTTTTAACCCCCTTGCCCCTTATAGCCAACAACTACCTGGACCAGAGTTAACTTTTAATAGTTGTTTCTACATGACTTCTAGCATGAATCTCATGCCTGATGTTTCTATGTGACTCCTAGCATGTACTCTGTGACTAATGCCTTCCCTCTTACTATTAAAAGGACACAGTCTCTCTACACAGCACTGAATGTCCTGGAACAAACTATGTTGACCAGGCTTGCCTCTGGGTCCTGGAATTAAATGTGTACACCAGCACACCCAGCCTAAATGTTTTGGTTTTAAAATAAACCAGGGTCAATGACTGACAGGCTTATCAGTTAAGAACACTTGCTGCCAAGCCGGAGTACATGAGTGCAGTTCCAGAGCATATGGTAGAATGAGAGGACCAACGTTCATGATTTATTTTCTAACCTCTACACAGCAGCGGTTATGCAGTGGCCATGTGCTGTGCTCCTTCCCCGTAAAATAAACTACTAAAAATTATCATAGCATAAACCTCAAAACAGGTTTTCTTGTTGTTGGTTGGTGGTTTGAATTTTGTTCTTTGTTTTTTGTAGTTAGGATCAAAATCAAGGCATTACACACACTACACAAGCCTATATGCTGTGTTGTGCTTGGTCATTATGGAGTCTCATGCATTTTATCAGTACAACCACACCTTGAAAAAGATACATTAATTCCTCAGCGAAGATCTTTGCCTGCTGTACATTTGATAGAAGGATGATTAACATCTCCAATATAAAAATAAATAAAAACTTAAGTAAGAAAATAAACAATGCATTGGAAAAATGAGCTGGGGAGATTTGGAGAGATGGCTCAACAGTTAAGAGCACTGGTTGCTCTTATAGAAGACCAGACTTCAATTTCAAGTACTCAATCACAGCTAGCATCCATCTCTAGCTAAGTTCCAGGGAATTTAATGACCATTTTTGGCATCTGAAGTCACCAGGCAAGCACACAGTGAGTGCACAGACAAGTCTACAGACAAAGCACTCATACACATAAAATGAAATGAAATTAAAAAATTAAGGTACAGTTTTAAAATAATTTTCTAAATGTAGAGTACTCAAAAGTATATAGATGGCCAATAAACATCTGAAAACATGTTTAATATGCTTTGATTTTGGTAAATGGATATGAAAAATATTGTGTGATTTCATCTAAACCCAGGCAGAATGACAAGTGTCAAGAAAACAAAGGACACTTACCTGGCAGAGGAGATAAGATGATCACAAAGGTCTTTTCCCAGAGTGAAGCTTATTCATTGCACTCTGGATTTGCTGCCCCTTCAACTTCCCCAAGGAAGGGAAGCTTGACTGTGTAATTTGTTGCAGAAGGGTACTGTGTTCTATACTCCCCAGCAAAAATAAATTAAAGTGGATAAGAAAAAGAAAGAAAGTAAAAGAAAATGAGTTTAAATGCAGGTGGGAAATTGAGGAAAAGGGACAAACATCCACTGTTTGTGAAAATGAAAAGTGGTCTAGCCACTGTGGAAAATCAGTGTGGAGTTTCTCAAAATGATAATATCAGTATTACCATATGAATGAGCTGTACATAAGCTCACATCCAAAGGAAGGACTCTATCCATCACAAAGATATCTGCACATCGATGTTCATTGTTGCTGTATTCTCAGTAGCAAAGAGATAGGATCAAGCTGGATGTCCACCAATGAATGAACTCTCCATGAAAATGTGGTACGTGAACACAGTGGAAGATTATTGAACCATAAAGAAAGTGAGGTGATGGAATTCTGAGGAACACAGATGGAACTGAAAAGTATTACGTCAAATGGGGTGACCCAGGTTCAGAGACATAAACACTGTGTGCTTGATCTTACGTGCAGACTCTAGCTTCTAACTGTCATATATTTGTGTTGATGTGGGAGGGAGTGTTTACATATAGGTCAGGAAATGAAAAAGAGACCCAAGGAGGAAAAAAGAAAGACCTCGAGTGCTGAGGTAAGAGGCGCAATAGATCACAGGTGACACAGAAGGCAGACTATGCAGGGTGGAAATGGTAACCAGGAAACAGGACCAGGGAAATGGAGGAAATATAGGAGAGGATCAACCAACGCTAAATATGAGTAAAATTGCCATTATGAAACCTGTGGTTTGTAAATGAATTAAAGAACAAAAGCATATGTTGAATTTCTTACTGCTCACAATCAAGGTGCTGTTGTGTGTTTCCCCTCATACAAAGCACAGAGGGGTTAAATAAGCAAGGTCGAAGTAGTAGTACATGAAAGACTGATGAAGCCTTCACATCTTGATCTTGCTGACCTCATATCCAGATTTTTACAGTTCCAACATGGACTGAAGACCAGAGACTCCGCAGAAATCTTCCAGGCCTTCAGCCTCAGACTAGGACTGTTGGGGGCATCTAGCTTCATGGAATGAACAGTTCCAGAATTCTCAGGTTGTGCCCAGCTCTTACCAGTTGTAAGTAATTGTATTCAATTATTTAATACACACATAATTGTTGTTGTTGTTGTTTAACTCTGCTCTTTGGGGGCCTGCTACCCAGCTCCCAACAGCTCCCAAATAAATACACATGTGGAGACTTATTCTTCCTTAGATTGACTTATTTCTAGCCCACTTTTCTTAACTTAAATTATCACATCTACCTTTTGCCTCTGGGGTTTTATCTTTTTCTATTCTATATATCTTTCTTTACTTTTTACTCTGTGGCTTTCTGTGTAGCTGGGTAGCTGGCCCCTGATGTCCTCCTCTCCTCCTGTTTTCTCCCTGATCTTCTTTTCCCAGATTACACCTCCTATTTATTCTCTCTGCTAGCCCCATCTATCCTTTGTCTTGCATAGCTATTAACCATTCAGCTCTTTATGAGACCAATCAGTTGTTTTAAACGGGCAAAGTAACACAGCTTCACAGAGTTGACCAAAAGCAACATAAAAGAATGCAACTCATCATTACATCATTAAACAAATATTCCACAGCACAAACAAATGTGACACGTCTTAAGCTAATATTCTGCAATACATAATACATACACATATAAGATTGTGGTGTATGTTCCTTCCGTGTGTTTTGTTCGCAGTGCTCTGGCGTTCTCGGCCATTGTGCACTGACTGTCGCACTGACTGTGCACTGACTGACTGCACTACTGATAGGAAGGCTCATAATGTGAGAAATCCATGGAAGTCTGCTAAATGGGTTAAGGGAATTTATTAGGAAAGAAAACTCGCTAAAACAGAATAGAAGAATTGTCGCAGGGTCCTGCAATGCTGAGGTACTCTCCCATGCTGTTCTGCCACCTGAGTCAATCCCCACCATCCAAGGCCGCATGAGAGAGAAGAGAGCTGTGTAAGTGTGTTTCAGGTCTTAAGGGTTGCCCAAGGCCAGCCCCCAGGGGCAGATACTTCAAGGTTATAGGTAGAAGAGCAATCCACTATGCATAACAGAAGTTTTATTGGAGTTTTGCAGTGCATTTGTGCCACCCTTGACTTTCCAGAGCTCCCTGTAATGAAGAGAACAGAGTTTTCCAAAACAGGAAGCTGACACTGTGAGTGGGAAGGACAGACAGACTTGAAAGTTAGGAAGGGAGAGACCTTGAGTGAATGCTTCATCCCTGCCTTAAGCAAGAGAGCCAGACCTCTGTCTAGACACAGACCATGCATGGTCACATGATCAAATTGTTACTCTGGTTAGACCTTCTCTTCCTTCTCTTCATGTGCTTTCAGGCAAAACATGCTACAATACTTGTGCAAACCCCCTGCTGTATCCGGACTCCATTCTGTGACAGACAGAGATGCTGTACACTTGCCACCAAACTCTCTGCACACTTCCACACTGTTTGTCCTATGTGAGGACAGCCATCACAATGGGGACTCTTCCTTGCCTGGTTGCTTTGATTATTAGACTGATGTTGCAGATGCATACATTTGTTAATTACAACTCAGGATTTTGCAAATGTTTCAGTTCAGTATATTTCTCAGTATATTTCTCAGCTTCAGAGCTGACAAAGTTTATTCTGCTGAGTGTCACAGAAAGGTAGACTAACAAGGATGGTCCTTTGGGCCTCAGAAGCTGGGTGTCACATAGCCCTGGTATAGAAATCACTGTTTAGCAGAAGGTGGCCTTGCATTTCTGATCCTCCTACCTGTATCTTCTGACTGACTGCTGGAACTGCAGGTGAGTACCACTGCTGTTTGCTAGCCTGTGGTTGTGGACTAAACCCAAGGTCATCTGTTCTTTTTCTCACCCGCTGAGATCTCCCTAGAATCAGTACCACATGAGGATCAGATAATGTGGCTCACTACTCTGGAAGATAAAACCACTTCTTCACCAAGGTAACATCCAATGTTGAATATCAATGAGTCTCAAGAGCACTGAGCCTCAGGAATACTCATTAGAGGGTAAATAACTTCATGGGAAATATATTTTGCTACAAATCCCTCTTAAAACGCTGCAGCTCCCTCTCCCATCATTCTCTCAGCCTGAACTCTAGAAATAGAATTGAACCGGACTCAGATTCCAGTTCATTGCTAGTTTGGGTGGAACTGCTGTCATTGAAAATTATATTTTTTCATCAAACTATTCACCCATCAACCAGTCCATCTGATTCATGTATTCATTGTGATGTCTTGGCCTACATTCAAAAATAAGAGAACCAGAATAAAATGGAGTAAACTAGCTTCATTGTTTTAAAAATTAAAACTTAATAACCATGAAATATTGAGTTTGAAACATAATTATATCTTAGGAAGACAAAGTATCATATTTTTGAAAGTATGATTTGGGATTATAATGCATATGTTAGGTTAAATGTGAAGAACTTTGCAATTATGTGTTTATGTTGCTTTTATGATCAGTCATTTTTAATGCTTTTCTTACCATGTATTACATGTCCCAGTAAAGAGACAACACTTACCATTCATTTGTATTTTATATGAATGATTGAGTGATTGAATAAATGAAATAATCTAGTAGTCGCACTGTGAATTCCTACTGCATATGAAACATGCTACACATGTCATTTAGATAGTAAGTGCATAGCTTCCTTGTTCTGGTGGTGGTGGCACATGCCTTTAATCCCAGCACTCAGGAGTCAGAGCCAGGTGGATCTCTGTGAGTTTGAGGCCAGCCTGGTCTATAGAGCAAGATTCAGGACAGGCACCAAAACAACACAGAGAAACCCTGTCTCGAAAAAAATCAGAAAAAAAAAACATGGTGATATTGTGTTCCCCAATATATCATGCACCCTAATAAATTTATCTGGGGTCAGAGAACAGAACCACCACTAGATAGACATAGAGGCCAGAAAAATGGTGGCACTCACACCTTTAATCCTAGTCTTCTGGAGGCAGAGATCCATTCAGATCTCTGTGAGTTCAAAGCCACACTGGAAATAACCAGGCAAGGTGACTCATGTTTTTAATCCCAGGAAGTGATGGCAGGAGCAGAAAAGTATATAAGATGTGAGGACCAGGAACTAGAGCCTTTGTTAATCTTTTAGGCTTTTGAGCAGCAGTTCAGCTGAGATCCATTCTGGGTGAGGACTCAGAAGCCTCCAGTCTGAGGAAACAGGATCAGCTGAGGAACTGACAAGGTGAGGTGGTTTTGTTTGTTTTTATTAATAAGACCTTTTAGGATTCATGCTACAAAAACCACTTTGAACAAATAAACTTTTGGCTTGTGTTCCCCTAGTGTTCTATGTGCAATCCCAAGGCATCTTGGAAATACTTCCCTACCATCAAAAATGATGGGTGACTTCTGAAGAAAGAAAATTGTAAATGGAGTCAGCAACCCAAGGTTTTGGAGTCTTGATGGACCAAGGATACTGTTAGAACCCTCTGCATGTCTGTGAGTCCTTGTTAATAACATTCATTTAAAGAAGATGTTAGTAATAGAAGATGAGGTTAATACAATTAATTCAACAAATGCTTGTTGGATTCCCAATGAGCCCAGCAAACTAACAGTGACATTTGTGCTTTTAATTCTGATAATTATGGAAAGATAAGGGCAGGAGAGACTGTTCAGTGAGTGAAATATTGGATGCACAAGCAAGGAGATAAGAATTCAATTCTTAAAATTGACATAGAAGCACACCTTTATCCCAGCACTTGGGAGGCAGAGGCAGGTGGATCTCTGTGAGTTCGAGGCCAGCCTTGTCTACAGAATGAGATCCAGGACAGGCAACAAAACAACAAAGAGAAATTCTCTCTCAAAAAACCAACCAAAAAACCCCACATAAATATACTGAGTATGAGTTTCCATGCTTGTACTTCCAGTACTTGGGAAGCAGAGATGGGCAGCTCATGGGGCTCCCTAGCCAGCCATTCTAGCAGATTCAGTAAGTGACAGATAAATGAGAGTCCCTATTTCAAATAAGGTGGATGGATTG